ACGCGACATTTCGACAATATGATATTTTTACTGACTTACATCCCTATTCCGCCAAACGGCTCATATATACTAACATATATACGAGCACGATGTAAAAATCATGCGCGCGCGAGGGTGTTGGGGCTTTCGTTCCTCGTGGCTGTTGCTGGTAAGGCGCAGTTGCTCTATTCTCTTGAAACCAGTTTTCCTCCACATGACTGTCGGGGAAGGGCAGACGGAAAGAACGAGAGAGTTGTCAGAGAGAGGGAGAGAGAGAGAGAGAGAGAGAGAGACGCGGAGTGGGGAAGAAGAGGGAAGGAGAGAGAAGAGAGTGTGGAAGAAGACGAGAAAAAGAAAGAGAATAAGAGATGCTCATACGTGTACATATACCGCACGTACGCATACGCACATCCATACATATGCCCGCATGTTCCGCGCGCGCGCGCGCGCCTTCTCGCCGCACGCATGTCAGCTAAACTAGAAAGTTGCTCCGACCGACGACGACGACGACGACGACGTCGTCGTCGTCGTCTTCGTCGTCGTCGTCGTCGTCGTCGAAGAAACACCGCTCGCGAGCTAGAACTACCTTTCGAATTTCAACCGCGAATATTTTCTACGTATAGACGCCGCTTGCCGCGTTGCGCCGCTTGCCGCGCCGCGCCGCGCCGCGTCGGACATGCGCGCCCCGGCGAACTGCAAAATTCGATCGGCGCGCGCGCGCGCGCGCGCACGCCGCACTCGATTCTCTCTCTTGCTGCCACAGCCGCTGCTGCTAGCCCACGTAAAACACAACGCGCGGCGATCGAACGCAGCGTTTTCGAAAGCCCCCGTGTATCCGTTCCGTCCGCGTTAGCTCTTGCGAGCGGCGGAGCTCGCCACGGATCGGTAGGTGCGATCGATCGAGCGTATATTTGGTAGGAAGCCAAACGATGCGCCACATCGCGTATATATAATGTGCTATTGCTACATGTTACATGCCACGTACATAATGTACGAACGGTCTCTCTCTCTCTCTCTCTCTCTCTCCCCCTCTCTCTCTCTCGTTACGATTTAATATTTTATACTACCTCTGCCTCGTCTAAAAGCGTTACAATTGTTGTCGGAATGGAGGCTGAGTTCCTAGGTCATAATACTATTTCTGTTTAACAGTAATATTTTTCAGTTGGGCGAAAAAAAATTGGAATCATTGATTTCGCGCATAAATACGAGCCCCGCAAATTAGTCGGCACGGACTGTTGCTAATCGGCCTCAACGGTATCTCATCTTCGAGCTATTTTTCAAATTGATATTTTCCCGGTATCATCGCAGGGCCTACGTCACACCCCGCGATACCATCGTCGAATTAAGAGTCGGAACGCGCGAATCCACCCTAGTATCGTGTAACCTGGCCGCACGGCAACCCCCCGGTTCTTGCGAGTAGAAAGTCCGCCGCGCCGGTAGAAGTATCTCGTTCTACGCGAGGCAACAGCGACTTCCCGCCGAGACGAGGCGAGGCGAGACGAACCGGGGTGAGGTGAGGTGAGACGAGGCGAGGCGAGGCCTCGGAGCGTGGGTATCAGCACGGAACCGAGTCTACAACGCATTAGCGCGGCGTTGTCACGTTTCGAGGTTCTCTCTGTCTCTCTCTCTCTCTCTCTCTCTCTCTCTCTCTCTCTGTCTGTCTCTCTGCTTCTCACTCGCTCTCTATCTCCCTCTTTCTCTTTCGTTCTCTCTCTTTTTCTTCGTCTCCTTCCCTCTCTCTCTCTCCCCCTCCCTCCCTCTCTCTCTCTCTGTCTCTCCTTGCCACCCCCTCCTTTCCCTCCCTCGCCGTCCCCATTCCCTCATCCCCCCTTCCTCCCCGTAGCCTCGCGCCTAGCAGTACCGACTCGTTCTTTCTCTCGATTCCTCTCGTCGCCGCGCCGCGCGACGTTGCTGACTCGACTGGCGGGAAAACTGGCTCTTCAAACGGATTTTCCCGCGACGGATGTACAGCTCGAGATTTCTTGCTATTCGTGTCCGCTCGTGGGGTGCCTATCGGTATTACAGGCGAGCATTATCGACTGTCATTAACTGTACGCCGAGCGACACGTCGTCAGGTCGTACGGTCGGCTCTATTTTAGCGCGGGGATTTAGTCTCACGTCGCGATTTTTCGAAAATGTTGCTCGCGCTCGCGAACAATAGCGGTGGCATGACCGCGTTCGCGGAGAAAGCGATATAGACGCATCCGTTGCATATACAGTACGTTTATTTGCACTGAAGAGATGGAATTATGAACCGCTATCTCTGTATCCTCAAGTGTTACTATTGTAAGGTACATTTTCCCTATTTTTATGCAAAAGGACGAATATTTCTGCCTCTCGGAAATGAGGAACGCGGTTCAAGAACGAATGTAATTGTCTTCTTTTTATAAATACGAGAACATATATATAAGTTCAGTTTAAATATCGTAATATATGGGGAGTATATTGTGATTTTCACGATTTTTATTGTTTCTGTTTTCAGCATAAAACTCATGAAAGGGAAGATGTTTTGGGCCTAAAGGTAAGCAACTTTTATAATAATTTCAATCAATTTGTGTTTCGTGTACACACGAACGTGAAAGTATTGTGATAGTTGCGAAAAAAAAACAATTTATTCCATTTATCGTTCCTGTAGTTTCGATTCATTCTGATATACATATCTTGTAAACACTTTTATGAACAACATAGAAAAAAGTGCGCGGCAATGGGAAAATAGTAGATTCCATGGAAAGCTCCTCACGGGAAAGAAAAAAAAAATAGTATCATCTATGATATTGTGTTTTGTGTGTGTTGGTAGCCGTGTGTACGGTAGCAAATAGAAAACTAACGACCGGGAAACAAAAACACATTAGGCATGTTGACCCACACTGGACTTATCAAATCTATCGTGAATCGCTTCTACCCATTTAGCTCTCTTAATATAAAGCGCAATTTGGAAGGTGCTTGTCCTTCGTAGCTTCCATCTACCGCGCGATTGACCCCGTTTGGCTCCATATTGCGAGCGATAACCCTGACCATAGACACCATTGTCAAGATGACCGATCGCATCGATTGTTCGATGGATTAATTAAGAGAACCACAGGCCAAGGTGGGGGACCGTCGGTATACCTACATCTCACTTTCTTCTCGAAAGTAATCTACGTCGGCGTATCCAATGACTCTCGCTACATGAAAACAGCTCATAATATTATCCACATTGATAAATTGTAATTTTTGTTGCTACAGTATCTGAGAGTTTGTAATGAAATCGTTCCTAAACAGCGCGATATCAACTCGCTTACATTATAACGATAAAATATCTTATTTCCGCGAGATACATTGCGTTTTTTACAAACAAATGCGGAGCATACATCCGCAAATACAAATACTCGTCGTTGTGCTACAAATCTCCCGCTTCTCGAGCGGGCACTCGGCGCGTCGTCTTCGCGAGGCCTCACCGACGAGCGCTCGGCGACGGCGTCCTGCGACTTTGGAAATAGAAAGTCACTTTGAAAATAGGCTCCGAAATATGCGCGCCTGGCGATGCCTCCCGTCGCATCATCTAAGAAGAAGAAGAAGAAGAAGAAGAGGAGAGGTGATGGAGGAGAAGGAGGAGGAGGAGGAGGAGGAGGAGGTGGAAGACGAAGAAGAGGAGGAGGAGGAGAACCGCGATGAGGAAGACGACGAACAGCGGGGGGGGGGGCACAGGGAGGATAGACGCGGTTTTAGACTACGGACTCGGCGCGTCGGCGTCGGGTTAAAAATAACAGTAACAGCGGCGGAGCCGGTCCTCGTCGTCGTCTACATCCTCCACGTCGCGTTTACCGCTGCCGCTGCCGCTGCTGTTGCTGCTGGCTCTCGTATCTTCGACCGCTAAAGCTGGACGACGATATCGATGACGCTACCGCGCCGTTGCGACATAGCCTTGAGCGCGCGCGCACGCGCGCTACGCTGCGCGCTGTGTGTAGAATAACACTTGAGAGCCGCGCGATTTTTTGCGCGAAAATCGACTTTTAATGTCTGCCCGACGACCGCGCGCGCTGTCGTGTCGGGATAATCGCCGTCGCATCTCCGAGCGGCGGTGAAAATTTCGCCTACTCGTCTAGCAATTGCGCGCAATTACGATGATATTTCGGACAATTTTCCGCGTCTGCCACGCGTGCTTCCCACGGGACTCGCGCGCTCGTCATGATAAATGTATAAATCTCGATGATGAATCGTCATGCTCCCCCTCCCCCCTCCCCCCTCTCCCCCCCCGGTGCTTCGCGAGACTTTCGCGTTAGCGAAGCTGGACGAATTCGTCGGCGCGTCTCTCTCTCTCTCTCTCGGCCCGGGTCCCTTTTTACGATACGGAGATTATTTGGCTGGTGCTTTTCTCCGAGTTGACGTGTTTGCAGGTTTTTCGACATAAACTTGACAGGCGAGATCTGTCACACAGGCGGATCACCTTCTATCGTCGCGACGCGGCGCGCAGCCACTTGCTTATTATTATTATCAAACTCTCATAAGAGAAGGACGTGTGTGACAAGTTTGATAATTCATATATTCGCGGTTATACATCACTCGCATACTCGCGCTTGTCCGCGTTGTCAAGTTTCTCGAAACACAAACTTGTCACAGACGTTATCGGCATATATTACTTGTCTAATCCTTAATCTGTCAGGTCGCGCGGCATGCAGGCTGTCCAACTAGTCAAAGTATAAAACATGGCTCTCTGAATTCTCTTCTCGCGCGCGCGCGCGCATGCTCGCCGGTCGTATCGTGCTCGAAAGCTTGTAGGATACGCGCGCGCGCGCGCTTGTAGGATGAGAGCGTCGCCGCTTATCAGGGGAAGTCCCATGATGCAAGCAAGTGTGGAAAAACATATTTGCGACTTTCCGACGGTCTGTACTAATGAGCGTTAAGTAAAGAGTGTATCGATTTAACGCTCATATATGAAATTCTCATAGATCTCAGAGCGCCTCAGACTCGCGTATACGGGCTCGCGCTCGAGCTCTCGGCTGCGCGCGCGATCAACGGGTTCTCTCCTTGGCGGAACGGCGAGACGAATTTTATTTTCGTACCGCGCTGGCGTCCCGCGCGCGCGACCCCGATGCCCCCTCCATCCTTCGGCGCTGCCCTAGCGCCGCGGCTGACACTCGTAAATCCGAAGCCGCGGCGTGCGATTGCCGCCGCGGGTGCCTCGATAATGCTCGGACGGTGTCGAACATCGCGTACGTGTCGGACACAGCGAACGAGACTAGCTCTCTCGTATGCGCGCTGCGAGCTGCGAGCTGCGAGCAGCACACCGCGCTCGGATCGGTACATCATTTCCTTCTTATGCGGCAATCATACCATTATACGTCATGTAGTAACCTGTACACGGGCGATTCCCCTTAGAGTCTCTGGAGGGACGCATGCGCGGCGCATAAGCACGCATTTATTAATAAGTGTCCATTTGACATTCTAATGAAAAGACAACAGACAGGCGTCTCTCGCGCGCCTGTAAATACGAGCGCTCGCGCGCACGCGCTGGTGCACGGAAATGGTGGCAGAAATCTCTTTCCTCTTCGGTGTCCTCCGATCCGCCTGTTGCCTCGTATACATTGTATATAACGGCCGTGTAAGAAATCATACTCGCGCGACGCGAGCGCCGCTGGCGTAGCATGCGTAATCTCATATAATTACAAAAGCGCGCCATTTTGAGTGCTACAGTACAAGTTCTTACTTATACTGTGCTCGGGCATCGCGCTCTCTCGCGCCCGCTCTCTCGCGCCCGCTCTCTCGCGCCCGCTCGCTCGCTCGCTCGCTCGCTCGGCATGCCGGACACTCGGCTAGGAATAGTCGGGACAGGATACGGGAACAGTTACCGGCGCGTCAGGGCCAGCAGTGCTCGAGGCGATCGGGCAAGGACGGTACCGCTACGGGCAAAGATCTTCCATTGCTCTCCTCCCGCAGGAATTTATGACGCGAAAAATCTCGTTTCCTTCGCGGAAATTCCCGCCGATCGTCTATTCCTCGCGCAAACCCGTGCCCCACCTAGCGCAAGCCGAACTTGCGGATCGCTTTTGGGAAAGGAAAGAGAAAATAACGGCGAGGCAGGATGCTCGCTCAGAAAGGATGCGCGATATCTATCGGCATGAGATTTACAGAGAGTGACATCGTGCGCTTCCTCGCGTCTCTGTCCTTTCCCTTAACGACCCCGCTTTTGGGAGATGTTAGGTGGGGTGTCATCCTTCCGCTCTCTCTCTCTCTCTCTCTCGCTCTCTCTCTCTCTCTCTCTCTCTCTCTCTCTCTCTCTCTCTCTCTCTCTCTCTCTCTCTCTCTCTCACCGTCCCTTTCACTCGAAACTCGACTTTCGTAACAAACTCTCAGGAAATTCTATTGAGGAATCGTCCATTCCTCAAATTCATTGAAAAAATTAATATTTCCCCCCTCCCCCCACAGAAGAATCAATATTTCTTCTCACGGAAGAAAGCCACGATACAATAGTCTCGATACCTCTGCGCGTTACCTCTGATCCGATCACTGTCGCGAATTATCCGACCTAATAAATGGGGATACTCTCATTTCCATGACGAATGCTCGTCCGATTCAAATATTGACGACGCAGGCGCGATCGATGCAGAGGTAAATAGACCGAGACGCTAGACGCTTCGAGACATCCACGGGATCGGTAAGGAACAATATTATAGGACGACACCACTCCTAGATCTGACGGCCGAACCGACCGGCGTACGGAGGTCGTTGAATCCCATTAAGCGGTACTCTCCGATCGTTTCGCTGTCGACCACCTGTACGCTCGTTCTTTTTAGCCGGTGTCTCTCTCTTTCTCTCTCTCTCTCTCTCTCTCTCTCTCTCTCTCTCTCTCTCGGCGTCTCCGTCTCTCTCTCTCTCTCTCTCCCTACCTCCTGAACGTGCCTGCTGCGTGATATTGCGTTGGCCGACGACGACGACGACGACGACGACAACGACGAGGCTGAGGCTGAGATAGCAACACCAGGATGAGAGCGATTACGCTCCGCATCGCCGTCGTCGTCGTCAACCTCGTCGGCTCCGTCGACGTCGTCGCCGACTCGGAATATCGCGCACTACGGCTAGAATATTGCATTCTTCTTTTCTCATGTAGCTAATGCGGCCACACCTTTCACCAACACCCAGCCCGGCACAGGCTGGCCTGACTAGCGCGCTGCCTAGCTACCTAGCCAGCTAGCTAGCTAGCTAGGCTGGATGACTCGGCTCGCCGGCTGATCGGGATAGCCAGGCGCGGTCGCTCGACTCGCTTGCCTGCTGCGACCGGCTCTACGACGACTATTCGTGCGCATCTCGACGGCCGTCTAACAGTAAAGTCTCTCTCGCTTTGTTGGTACACGTCGTGCACGGCACTAACGCTCTGGCGAAAACTCTTACCTGAGCGTTTGGGCCGGAGCACAGACTTCTGCATAACGCATAATACACAACGCATAAGAGAATCAACGAAGCAGAGTTCTTCATTTCTGTCCTGAGGAGGGAAATGAAGAACTCTGATTGGTTGATTCTCTTATGCGTCGTGTATTATGCGTT